AGACAATTTAGTAAAGACCAAATAAAAAGAAATTTGAACTGGGGCAGAGTGGGGTGGGGTGGAGAAACCTATTCAGACTTGCAAGATTCTGTTCACTGCAACCTTATTCTGTTACTGTAAGCTTGTAACAAAAATAGCATTAGCATTCATAACTAAAAAGCTTTGGTTTTCTGGACTGGTCTACCTTCCGTGGGTGACAGATATGGAAAACTAGGTAAGAGAAAGAATAGAATGATTTCTAGAGGAGACCATGGTGAATCACCAACTGGAGCAATAAACAAGAAACTTCACACTGTAATATTTTGTTGCAGGTTCTAGTTATATATGTACAGTAAACTGCAGTTATGTTCCTCTATTAGGTTTTATTTAACATTTTTTTTCAGATTGCAAAATGGACTGATGTTACGTATTTTTAATAAAGAATTAAGCTGAGTTTTAGCTCTGTGACTATCTTATTTAGTCTTTTTGAGACTTTACCTACCAAGGCATCCACTTCCAAACGTCCATCTGCTGAAATAATCCATTGAGTAAAATTTCTATTCGAACTCCAAAATCCTCTAATGCAATTCTTAAATATATAAGTTGTCCCAGCAATAGTTACATCTCTGCAGCAATTAAACTATGTAAATCTAAGAATTTGTTTCCCACTGTGTCAGTTCCTACTTTATTTTTTTGTCACTTGTTCCCAGACTCTTCAGTCAACTAACTTGTCTCCAAGGTAACAAGACGTAAAGATATGTACCTATTTAGGGTATTCCTGGACATTGTTGGAATAAGCAGGAAAGCACTGCCTTAACCCAGGAATAGCTAAGGACAATTAAAATCTAACTGAAAAGCTGAAAAGCTGAAAAGAAACAAAGACGACAGCATGGAAGCATGGCAGATATTGCAATTTTTCTTATAGTAAGAGTTAGAACAAATTATAATTCTGCAGAAGGATCTTCAAGAAGGTATTTCAATACAGATACTCTTTGACTTACAACAGTTCATTTAGTGTTTGTTCCAAGTTAAAAGACACTGAAAAAAGTGATTGTGACTGTTTTTCACACTTACAACCATTCTCTATGATCATGTAATCAAAATTCAGATGCTTTTCAACTGACTCATATTTATGACAGTTGCAGTGTCCCAGGGTCATGTGATCATTTTTTGAAATCTTCTTGACAGGCAGTCAATAGGAAAGCTAGATTCACTTAACAACCGTGTTGCTAACTTAACAATGGCAATGATTCACTTAACAACTGTGGAAAGAGAGGTCATAAAATGTGGCAAAACGTACTTAACAAATGTCTCACTTAACAACAGAAATTTTGGGCTCAATTGTGGTTGTAAGTAGAGGACTACCTGTATCAACATCACTTCTCATCCATAGAGAGGAAGTCAATTACTAAGACTAAAAGATAATTCAATGCCTAATGTGCGTTAACATCTAAGGTTCTCTTATGTGAGGTTCACATCTATTTCTTTAAAATGCATGCATCCTTGCAGTCAGAATGCTTCCATCTCTAACCAACTTAATTCTTAATGACACATCTATATTGTGTAGGTGGTGAGAATGCGGTGAAAATGGTGTTTCCCATTATATAGACTTACTTTCCAATTTCTAAGACTTCATTCACCTTTACTCTTGATCTTGGGCTGTTAATCATTAAAAACAGAATAAAAATATATAAATAAAACAAATCAAGGCATAACTTGGTACACAGCTTTCAAATACATGTCTATATTTTTGATAATGTTGAAAAATACCATCAGCTGACAGCAAACCTTTACGTCAGAACTCAGTGAAGAACATGTATTTCAGACTTCGTTGCTGTACTGCAACTGATCCATGATGTTTATTTCATTGTTTCCTTTGGAAGCCTTTGGAAGAACACTATGTTCAATTTGCTTTCTCCATCATCCTTGCACCATTGTGTCCATTTTTTGATCCAATATTAAAGGGCTCACAAGTCTTTCAATGTGTCTGATTTTAAAAACACATTAGGCATCAGCTCACTGGCCAAATGTCTATGGAGAGTCTGTCATCCATGGTTGTTCCAAAGATGCTTTTTCAAGAGGCAACTGGACTTTCTGTTTTTTCTTTGAAGAGAAATGAAACGTCTTCAACGAAAAACCAGTTGCCTCTTGAAAAAGCAACTTTGGGACAACTCACTGGCCAAATTGTTATATTTTAAAAACTTGTTCATGTGCCTGAACTGTGATCATGTGAACCTGGGAGTGCAAGGACCGGTCCTAACTGTGTGCACCAAACTTTTTTTCAATGCTGTTGTAATTTTGAACAATCACAAAAATTGAAGACTACCTGTATCTATTTTGAGTAATATGCTTATTTTACATTTCTAATTACACAAGGTAAATTAAAACGTAATTTCTAAAAGACAGTTTAACAAAACAATCTTGCACTAAATGAACAATATAGAACATACACAAAGGCAAAAGAATGGATATACTTGGGTTTTGCATCTGCTCAAGTATTAATTTAAACTTAAAAAGCTAGGAAAGTTAGAAGATGTACAGTGAAAACAACTTCCCAATTTTTCCATTGTACTGAACAGAAAAAGGGAACACATTTCTCTAATTGACAAGAATAATTCCTTAAGTTTTAATACTAATGTATTCAAGATATTAATTCAGTTATACAAAAGAGCTAGTTTTACAAAAGGTATATACAAGATATAAGGTTCAATAACCATGTAACTGGGATGCAATAATAGTTTGCATAATGAAAATAAAGAACTGGTGAATCTCTGTGTGTACAGCTCCTAGTGACCACCTGGATTTTTTTCTTTGATGATCAGAAGTGGGTTCCTACCGGTTTGGACCGGTTTGGACAAGTAGGTAGTAACTTGGCCTGCCGCGCCCCCAAACTGTTTCTCGTGTTTTTTGCTTTTGCAAATGCACAGAAGCATTTTTTTTAGTACTGCACATGCATGGTGTACATCAAGTGTGTGTGCAGCGCGTCCCTGAGCAAACTGGCAGTAGCAGCAGCTGGAACCCACCCCTGTTGATCATCTATCCCTAACCGGATCCTTCAGTTTTACAGTGGTGCATCCATGGAACCTGGAACCAAGTCCATCTATTTAGCTGCGGATTGCCCTCTTCTTCTCTTTCTCTCCATCTTCCCAGGCATCAGGGCCTATTCCAGAGAGCTACCTGTTCCGAGTAGAATAGTGTATGTAATATAGAGAGAAGACACCTAATAAATTATCTATAAAATGCTACTGATATGAAAGGATCAAGTAGCAGTATGGCTCCATATCTGCAAAACATTTTTAATCACTGTTTTTTAAAAAGATGGTAACAAATATTAAAAATCCACATGGAGAATTGAGAACTAAGTACCAATATTTTATTTCAAGAGGAAGATGTATCTTTATCCAAGATGTATCCAAGATGATGACTCACTTATTCAAGAGAACAGCAATAAAAGATGTGCACTGTTATGTGGCCTAAATGATAACTGGATTCCACAAAGGAGACCAAAACCAATGTCATATTGGATGTCTACATTACCAGCCACAAAATATTAATAAGTTCACAAATGTTGACCATCCTTGTGGAACGATACAGGAAACAAATTGGTTGAAATATGGAATGTGATCATTTCTGACAGTTGTTAAGGCATTTGCCTTGGATTTATGACTTTGTTCATTGAAAAATCCCATTCCCAAAGCCACTTATTAAGATAATCTGTGTCTTAATTTAGAACCTCATTTTTAAGTTGTGAGAAATATCTTTTTTCCCCTCATCTGATACAAACAAATGTTGAAGTCAGAATGGATAAAAGGAAAACATGGGGCAGAACTAATCAAAAGGAGATTAAAGTGTAGTTTAAAAACTGATTTAAAATAATCAATTACTGATTAATAACAATTTTACAATACTTGTTGCTCACCTAGGTTTCCTGTACTCCTAAAAACCTGCCTGGCTCCATCTTCCAACAGAGATAATCTTTCTATTCTCAGATGATCACTTCTGGATCCAATACAATTCATATCAATATTTCAGCAAGAAGTGTGTTTAAAAGTATGTTTAAAAATAAACAGAACAATGTGAAATGATTCACTTCAGGATCTGCTAATTGAAATTACAATCAAAATTCCATTTGCTTCTACAATATTTAATGGGACTATTTGGTTAAGATGTGTACATTACACCTTGTCATTGTCAATAAAAAAGGCTTTTCTGCATGCTGTAAAACACTACTAAGCCCCACTGATTTCAATAGAAAAAAATTAGATAAGCCTTTTTTTCCTAAATGAACTCCATATGACTTATATATTGGTACACACACTAGATTCCATTTTCCAGCTGATCTGTGGAAAAAAGAAATCTTTATGTTTGTTATCTCCATTTTCAACTTGTTCAGCATAAGCGAGCAGTTGAATTTTCCATTACAAATGTCTTCCTTGGCAATTTGAGCATTTATTTATGCATTTGTGTGCACCATAGGTGATTGAAAACATACCACACACACAACAATTTTGATTGACACAAATAGATTAGTTCATCTGGTATATATATCCTAACAGAATTTTATAAGACTCATATCTTCTCCACTTTTTCCATATTTGGTAAAAATAATATATCTGTATACTTAAACAATTAAAATAGTTCCTAAATTCATTACTCCAGTCAAAATAGAATGAGACAAAAATGCAAATTATGAATAAAAATTCCTATTTTTTCCAGCTTGTATTAATTCTTAGAAGAAGATAGCAGTCTGCTACAATAAAGAAGATATGTCAAATGAGAAATAATGGAGAACAAATATATTATTTAGAAAATGAATTTTCCATGGTGCTTTTGTATGCCACAGTCTAAGCCTACAGTTTGTAATTCACATAAAAAAAGCTTACAAATCTATTTTGATGTAGCTTCAAGACAGAATGCTGATTCAAATGTTCCAAACTTTCTAACCCCCTGGATAGACCAGTCCACAGAATGGATGAACGCATTTCTCATGTCCATAATCAAAATCTGAAAACATTTCTTAGTACACTGTAATTTTACATTTTTATTGTTTGGTGAAACAAACAAGGTGCTTAAAACTTCAAGGAAAATAATACAAACCAGTGTCAGAATGGGGGAAAAAGCAAAGGAAACAAAACAGAGGAGAGGAGTGGAATGGAGTCCTGTAATTCTTCTACAATGATGAGCAAAGAACTTTACTATTTGTGCTGCTTTGGACATTCATAGCCAACACCTGTTTTTTCTGAACTGTTAGCTGGGTACTAGTCATTCACTACAGTTCCTTTTTTAAAACATTATTTAGATACTCATATCATCAGCAGTTCAACACACTGCAATGTAATGGAAAATACTCCCCAAACTGAATCTGGATTGAGATTCAAAGCACAATAAAAATAAAAATCAGTAAATAAATATCTTGCATATATGTCAAACTATCGTCTCCAAACAAAACCTTACATCTTATGAAAGTGTCAGAAAGTATAGAGGAAAAAAACACCCTCTGCTTTCTACTACTACAATACTGTTAAATCTCCAAGGATGAAAATGTCCCATTTATTGTTTTTCTGCCTTAAAAAAATTAGATGGCAAAATTGAATTTCAAACACAGAAAACAATGCACATATATGAGAGCACTGGTTTAGCAAGATATCAAATATACAGTATTCTAGTGTCAAAAGTACAGGCAGAAATGTCCAAGAATTCTTGGTGAAAAAAGGGGTAATTGAGGAGTAAAAATTCTACTGGACAATCACTCACATTTTAACAGTGTATTAGTTATAACAAAAGCCAGATGGTAAGTGAGCAACAGATTCTAGTGTTCAGTATTTGTAGCAAAGTATTTTCTCTGCTCTTTTAAATGAGGTTGAAAACACATACTCATGTATGGGAAATTTTTATGGAACTATGTTTATTCTTTCTTCCCAGCTTCTTGAAAGTGGCAGAGCTGGGACATTGATCTGATTTAAATGATAGGACACAGTGATTTGGATAAAGCGTTCGCCGTGCCTTATTCATTATCAAATAATTACTTAGTCCTGCAATCTGGCTTCATCTATTCTTTTGCTTCTAGAAAAAGTGTTTCTTGAGGATACAATTTTAACTCCAATAATGATTTATTTGGATCCAGCTGGGTTACCTGTGAAAATAAAAAAGAACAAGACAACCTGAAAAGAAAAGTATAGGTGGTAGCCTTCAGTTACCCTTTCAGAAATAGATTAATAAATATTCCACAATTAGTTTGTTCTTGTTAGTTAGTATATTTAAGAGAGTCAGGAAATAGCCTTGTTATCATGCTCATAATAGCATTTGCAGCAAAACATACAGAATAAATAGATAGCTGTATCCTTCATCTTACCTTCCAAAAGCTTTGTATTTTTTTAACAGAATCTAAAAATATTTGCACTCTGATGAAACTATTGACTTATAATTTAGAGACAGAAAAATATTACTGTTTACAGAATATACATACTAAAGTATTCCCTTAATTTAATTAGTTTCCAAGTGCACATATGAGATACATTATGTAATTATTTTACTTTGCAAGACATTGTAGTATGAATTCATTATTCTGTTCCTATTTCACTAAAATCTCATTCTATGCTTATATTACCCTGTAATTATTATTACAACAGGACTTGGATTAAAGGTACATCACTGGAAATTCTACTATATGACAGAGATTTTATGTATGTATGTATGTATGTATGTATGTATGTATGTATGTATGTATGTATGTATGTATGTAT